GTCCACCAGATTGGCGGCACCGCTACTGACTGTGCCGGCGGCTAGCTTTAGTTTGGGAAACTCAATGTCGCGCATCAGATCGTTCTTGAACTCAACGATGCCGCTGACAGTTTCGGTGACAGTCTTATCAATAAATTCCTCAATATTTTTGGTTTCCGCTTCGATCTTCTCCTTCAGCTTGCTGGACAACTGATCCATTTCGCACTGATCGTGCGGCACGCTAACCGCGTCGCGAGCGCTTGTTTCCTGTGGATGTGGCTTGGGGCTCAGGGTTTGCTTCTGCTGTTTGTGCTGATGATAATGTTGCTGCTGCGGCGGCTGCTGCTGTGGGCGTGGTTGGAGTATTTTATTATTCTGTGGCTGACTCGGCTTGTGTTGTTGTTGTTGTTGCTGTTGCTGTGTCAATGTGTCATTACGTTTAGCGGGCTCATTGAGGACCGCCTGCTCCTCCTCAACATTGAGATCGTGCGTGTTGTTCTCCACAGCCAACGGATCGGCAGCAGCTGCTGTTGCTGCTGCTGTTGTTCCAGTTGCAATATCGCTTATATTAGCCGGAAGATTCGTGCCGGCGGCACTTCTGTTCGGACGCTGCTCGCCGCGTATGAATCGTGGTAAAATAAATATGGTCACTAAAGAAATAATATGAAGGCACAAATAAAATCTCAGGTACAATTTGATGCTGCCCTGCAATAACGAAAAGCAACAACAGGTTAATAAAAGTACAAGCGTAATAATCGGTCAACAACTAACCATAAATTCAAGCAGAACAAATGGGAATGTGGTGTAGCCCATCACGATGCGTGTGGTGATGATGGTAAGAATGTCGTAGAACATGCGCGTGAATTGTGTGCTCTGGAAGCGATAGCGGAGCATGCGACGCGCTGTCCGCGCCGCTGTTACCATTAAGGCACCCGTGGCAAAGGTCAAATAGTAGCCAGGATAGAAGCCATGCCAAACGGCGCTCAAGGCGAACGTCAACAATGTGCCATACTGCTTGGGCACACGCTCATAGACGAGTGTACGGAGCCAGCGATTCGTGCCGCAGTTCCAATTGTTGATGGCATCGCGCATATTCGAGGCAAACTGTAAGTGGACAGAGTATCAATAAATATATATCATTTGTGCCTGCTCTCAAATATAAGTTGAGCGTAATTGAAGCTCCGCTTACCTCAAATGACAGCACATTTATGTTGGATATTAGATCCCATTTGGCATTGCCATCCTTGTCGTAGCCGGTGAAACCCAAGCCCGAATTATTGCATATGGCATCGGCGAGTAGCCAGGCATGATAATACTTAAAGCGTATACAGGTGGTTGCCATCATGGCATACCAGAACTTATAGGGTATGCTTGTGTCATTGATAAAGTCATCCTCTTTCATATTCTTGACTGGATAGATTTTGACAAACTTCATAAATATGAAGGCGCACACCATGCTGCCGAGCACCTTGCGTATCACGGTTTTCGTTGGCGACGGCTCCACCACCAGCTCCGACTTGCCATTGTCCAGACTGGCCTGAAAAGCAATGCAAAGCAAGAACAGAATCGAGAGTCAATTTCAAGTGTAATGAGAGAGCTGCAAATTGAAATTGATGAGTCAGACGGCAGACAACAACGACCAGACCAGAGCAGATGGCAGACAGTGGCCCGCCCCCCCGACGCCGTTGGGCTTGGCTAATGCAATCACTGCAGCCACATAATCATTGCAGAGACTGTGCGCACATCTGTGTGGTCCACTTACATTGCTCGCCGGACGCTTCAACAGATTGTAGCCCTCCACAAACTCAATGTAGTCCTTGTAAAAGACCAACGGTCCGGCCATAAGGCTCTGAAAGTGCCACACATACGAGAAATACTCCAATGCGGATGGCATTTTTCTAATCGCATGATATTGCTGCGCCCTTGTCAAGTCCTGCGGCAATGAGACAAATGAAAGGCATTAGCATTCGATTGCACTTTAGAAATCAATCAATCAATCGCTCACCTCATCCTGGCGCACAAAGCCGTCGTGTATGCTAAATGCCAGGCTGGTCACCTTCTGCGTGATGATCATCAGCGGCCCGGTTATGTCCAGTGCATAGGAACCGTAATCGTAGATCTGACGCATCAGGTGCACACACAACAGGTAGCCCATGGCCACCAGCAAGACGCTTCTGCAAAAGAAACAACAGCTGAGTTTTAAACACTTCGTTGGAAGGCATCATTCCCGCCACCCACCTCTGCACAATGCGCGGATCCTGGGTGCGTATCACGATATAGCATAAGGCCGGCAAACCGGCTATGTGTATGGCCTGCTGGCCAAAGCAAAAGTAGCCAAAGGCCAGGCCCAAGGACATGGCGAAAGCGTGTCGCACCTCATAGGAGACCTTCGATGGATGCAGCCACGAGCGGAAGAGCGAGGCCAGGAAGAGTGCCGATATTTGGCAGACTAAAAAGTTCACCTGCAAATAAAAAAAACAAGAATATTAGATAAAAATATTTAAGAAAACATTTGATTAAGAAATTTACTGAATGATTGTCAGGACAACCTGCAGGAAGAAATATTGTAGAAGCTTAGCTGAGTTTAAAAAATACTGATTGATTGATTGATTGACGGACTAGCTACTGATTGATGGCCAACGCGCAATAAAGTAGATAAAGGATAAATTAAGATAAAGGAGGAGGAAATATATGGCATATTTTATGAGCATACTAGAGAACAAAACTACTGATTGATCGAATGATTGACAGACTAACTGGCTGATTGATGATCAACGCACAGCACAACTGGAAAAGAAGAGATGTATTCAATAGGCTGACAATTGTTTGATTGACAGACTGTCTGACTGACTTATCAAGCCCAGGAGTGGAAAATTGTCGGCAGCTCATTTTCAAAGATTCTTGTGAAAATTCATTGGCAAAGGTATTTCACGCAACTGTAAAAGTTTAAACAAAAAATACTGACTGATTGAAAGGCTAATTAACTGATTATTGACTAGCGGAAAAAGCCATAAAAGCTAGAAAGAACTAAAAACTTAAATGAAATTTTATATATTTTACTTTTCATTCAATGTGCTACGAACTCTTTTTTGTAGGTCTATGAAAATTCATTGGAAATCAATATATCCCAAGGCGATACCTTAATCGATTTGAATACTAATCAAATATACTATGACCGGCTATTTAAGATATCTTACAAGTTCTACGACATACTATATATTTAATAGGCTAATACTAGACACAGAGCCCATAACTTGTTTTGTTGTGTAATTCGGCCGCATTGAAGCGTTTACAATTGCGGCTACAAATGCCACATATATATATATGTATGTATGTATATAGGTATATTAGATATATAGTGTACGGTTGACGCACATTGCTCTTGAACATTATCGGAAATCGGGTATCACGCGATCTGATCAATGTACAGCTGCAGAGCTTGATGACTGACCGTGGCCTTGGCCATCGTTTGACATATTCTATGCAAATGTTGCACAGTTCTCTAATTTATATTTCTATGTCGGCCAGATGTGCGTTTTCTATATAGTATATAGATATATGTATATGTACACTGACAATTGCAAGTGCTCGAATTTCTGTAGCGTGCACCTTGCCAACAGTCGACGTCTGGCGTTCAAATAGGGTCTAATTAAAATAGATTGCTAATTTATGGACTCTATAAAAAATTACACGACTTTTTAAACATGAATTGTCGAATGATGGGAAGACGGAAGAATTTTAAATTCTAAGTTATGCTGAATCGAAGATTGAATGTGTAGAAAACAAAAAACAGCTCAGCCATAAGAAGGAAAACAACGTTACGTTACGAATGTCACGTAACGGATGTTCAATAACGGATATTACGTAACGGATGTCGTATAACGGATATTACGTAACGGATGTCACATAACGGATGTCACGTTACGGATGTCACGTTACGGATATTACGTAACGGATATTGCGTAACGGACATCAAGAAACGTTTTATATTTATTTCGTTACGAAAGGGAAATTTTTTCAGAAATGTTTTCAAAGTTTTTCGGAGTTTTATTTTTACATATAAATATTACGTATCACGTAAGGTGGACCGTAGATATAAAATAGTGTTGATAGGGACTGAAAGACTGAACGGCTCCCCTATAGAGCGATCGATAAAGAAATTGTTATCGCTCATACTCATTTCTTTGCGTTCGTTTCGATATCATTCTGTGAGTGCTGCTGATAGCGTAAGGCCCCGACAAATAAGCCCATTAACAATTATGCATCACAAATTTGGGGGCACAGTGATATTTCATTGTCAAGGCTTGGCCATTCTTTAAGCCCCACACCCACCGGCCCAGTGTTAAGCCTTTCAAGGCGGATGTGCTTTTGTTATCAGCCGGCGACTGTCAAACTAAACCTTATCTTTTAGCTATTATTGTCTGCCACAGTCGAAATTAGTGCGAATAATATATAAGTATGTTAATGTACGCTTATCAATCACAGAATGCATAATCAGTGGAATATGAACTCATTTCAAGTATTTACAGCGACAGAACAAAGAAATTAGCAATCAATGCCGCAAGTTAATACGTTGCTATTTATAAGAAAACAAAGCAATTTGTAAATATATAAATATATATATTTAAAATGAATGAATGACTTTTCTTAGTGGAATTTAACAGCTATAAAAATCAAACTCGGAATTTCGTTGTTCATAAAAATATAAATATATATCATTTAAGTTATTCTAGCAAAAGAATAAAAAGCAAAAGTGAGTTAATACTTATAACAGATAACCTTGAGGGGGTTATCGTTCAGTTCAGAAATAAATGGGACAAGCATATTGTATAAAGCACTGATAATAATAATCGATAAGTTCTGTGTATCTGAACCACTTGAGCATTCGAGCTTGGATCAAGGAACTACTTCAAATGAAACGAGTGAACCACTTGGCGAACGAATGATCCGAACACGAATAAAAAGGAGTTCCATTTAAACTAGTGTATACATTTGGAACTAGTTCCAAAAACGTGAGGAAATATATGTATAAGCTGCGATTTATTTGAATTGATTCACATTTAGGCTAGGTGTGTTATATAGTCAGTTAACGGAGAGATTTGCCTTGGTCTGTCTGCGCGACTCTATCGTTGCTTAATTACGCTGCGCGGCACAGTTAAGGACCAGGTTGCGACGGCGACATTTGCCTGCCTCGATATCGAACCAGCTGCCCGCCTTGCAGCGGCGCACCACGCGGACACCGCCGTTGCACTGGTAGAACCGGCGACAATGCTTCGAGTCCTGCAGGAAAACGCCGTCGGCTCTGTTCTGACAGTCGTCGCTGGAGGAGCTGATGAGACTTAGCAGACGATTGACAATAGGTTTTTTAACTTCTTTTGCAACTTCTTCTTCACAGGGTGTGGTGGTTGGTGGAGCACACGGTGTGGTAGTAGGTGGCTCACAGGGAGTTGTCGGTGGAGGGTCTGTCTCACACGGAGTTGTCGGTGGAGGGTCTGTCTCACACGGAGTTGTCGGCGGAGGGTCTGTCTCACACGGAGTGGTCGGTGGTGGATCAGTCTCACAGGGAGTTGTTGTGGGTATTGCCGGTGGTGATGCACATGGTGCTGTTGTAGTTGGACGACGACAGGGTTGCTTTGTTGTAGTTATAGTTTCACTTGGCGTCGTTGCGGGTGGTGCACTTATTGTCGTCGTTGTTGTAGGTGGTGGTGGTGGTGCGCTTGTTATTGGCGTTGTTGTAGGTGGTGGTGCTGTTTCAGAAGGAGTTGTTATGGGTGGAGATGGGGCGCTTGTTGTTGTGGGTGGTGGTGGTGCTGTTTCACAAGGTGGTGTTGTGGGTGGAGGTGGTCCGCTTGTTGCTGTCGTTGTTGTAGGTTGTGGTGTTGGTGCGCTTGTTGTTGGCGTTGTTGTAGGTGGTGGTGCTGTTTCAGAAGGAGTTGTTATGGGTGGAGATGGGGCGCTTGTTGTTGTTGTGGGTGGTGGTGGTGCGCTTGTTGTTGTCGTTGTAGGTGGTGGTGCTGTTTCACAGGAAGTTGTTGTGGGTGGAGGTGGTGCGCTTGTTGCTGTCGTTGTTGTAGGTGGTGGTGGTGGTGCGCTTGTTATTGGCGTTGTTGTAGGTGGTGGTGCTGTTTCAGAAGGAGTTGTTATGGGTGGAGATGGGGCGCTTGTTGTTGTTGTGGGTGGTGGTGGTGCGCTTGTTGTTGTAGGTGGTGGTGCTGTTTCACAAGGAGGTGTTGTGGGTGGAGGCGGTGCGCTTGTTGCTGTCGTTGTTGTAGGTGGTGGTGGTGGTGCGCTTGTTGTTGGCGTTGTTGTAGGTGGTGGTGCTGTTTCACAAGGAGTTGTTATGGGTGGAGATGGGCCGCTTGTTGTTGTGGGTGGTGGTGGTGCTGTTTCACAAGGAGGTGTTGTGGGTGGAGGTGGTGCGCTTGTTGCTGTCGTTGTTGTAGGTGGTGGTGGTGGTGCGCTTGTTGTTGGGGTTGTTGTAGGTGGTGGTGCTGTTTCAGAAGGAGTTGTTATGGGTGGAGGTGGCGCGCTTGTTGTTGTTGTGGGTGGTGGTGGTGCGCTTGTTGTTGTCGTTGTAGGTGGTGGTGCTGTTTCACAGGAAGTTGTTGTGGGTGGAGGTGGTGCGCTTGTTGCTGTCGTTGTTGTAGGTGGTGGTGGTGGTGCGCTTGTTATTGGCGTTGTTGTAGGTGGTGGTGCTGTTTCAGAAGGAGTTGTTATGGGTGGAGATGGGGAGCTTGTTGTTGTTGTGGGTGGTGGTGGTGCGCTTGTTGTTGTAGGTGGTGGTGCTGTTTCACAAGGAGGTGTTGTGGGTGGAGGCGGTGCGCTTGTTGCTGTCGTTGTTGTAGGTGGTGGTGGTGGTGCGCTTGTTGTTGGGGTTGTTGTAGGTGGTGGTGCTGTTTCACAAGGAGTTGTTATGGGTGGAGATGGGGCGCTTGTTGTTGTTGTGGGTGGTGTTGGTGCGCTTGTTGTTGTCGTTGTAGGTGGTGGTGCCGTTTCACAGGAAGTTGTTGTGGGTGGAGGTGGTGCGCTTGTTGCTGTCGTTGTTGTAGGTGGTGGTGGTGGTGCGCTTGTTGTAGGCGTTGTTGTAGGTGGTGGTGCTGTTTCAGAAGGAGTTGTTATGGGTGGAGATGGGGCGCTTGTTGTTGTTGTGGGTGGTGTTGGTGCGCTTGTTGCTGTCGTTGTTGTAGGTGGAGGTGCTGTCTCACAAGGAGTTGTTGGTGGTGGTGTTGCTGGTGGGGCACATGTTGTTGTGATAGGCGGCGAGGGCGGTGGCTCTATATCACACGGAGCCTTTGGCGTGGTTGTCTCGCATGGGGGAGGTGTTGTTGAGCAGGGCTCGTGCTCACCTGCATCCAAATCAAGAGCAACGCGCAGCGCCAAGCCTCTTAGATTGATGCAGTGGACCAAACTGGCCGATTTACAGGACTGGCTTGCCTCGTCATAGTACTGTCCCAGGCGACAGGAGTGATGCACCGCTCTGCCGCGCGTGCAGACATAATAGCCGGCACACCTGGCTGGATCAGTTAGAAGGGCACCATTGGCCAGGTTATTGCAACTGGGCCGCAGTCTTTGGTCGGCACCCGTGGGGGCTACGGCAACTGCGGCAATTGTCACTAAGCCCACAAGTAGAACGTTTACTGGAAAAGGACATGCGTAAGGGCGTGAGCAGCTGCGGGGGCGGCTATGCGGGAAAAAGTATCACTTACAAGAATTCATCTAAGACTCTGCTCTGCTCGAAAGGATAACTCACTGAAGTGTGTTACTTTATCGCTTCCGAACTTAATTGTTGCAGCCGGAGCTACAGAACTCTCTTTTATACCCAATGCCCATTTGTTTGGACAGCTTCAACTCAAGTGCTTTACCAAACAATTTGGCTAATTGGGCGCAGAAAAATGTTAACCATATTGACAAGACAATTTAAATGTAGATAATGAAACTACATTTGCATGTATCTCTGAACACTTCTGTGCTTACAACTGACGCTTCCCAATTGCCTACAGATGGTGTCCAATGAATAAGCTGGTCATTTTAAGATTGCTTCGATTAACAAAAGGTATTTATCGAAGAACAGACGCTTGTTAGGCAACCTGACAACCCTTCGACTCCAGACCTCTGTTGATTTAATTTCATCACATATTCTCACATTTTGTCAACGTGGCCTGATATAGGCACTATTTGTGCGTCATAAAGATAAGTTCTACGCAATTGACGTATTCAGATAGGCCACACGGTTGTGATTTCCCAAGCTTGCAATAGGAATTTGTACTTTTTGGTTTGTGTTTTTTTTTCTTTTGCCGGACCATGTCATCTGCCCAACAGAGCGCAAGCAGAGCTATCCATCAATCTTGTTTCGGGAATCTGCAATGTTGAAATGTTGTTGCAAATGCACACAACGAATGTTGATCAACCAGTTTTACACCGAAACCCAAGTTAGTATCCACAAGAAACAAGCGCACAAGCGTGTTCAATAAAACTAAGCAAAGCCAACTAAAAGACCAACCAAAGGGAACACAACTTTATAGATGAAAGTAATGTTCATTCAAATGCGCATTCAATAATCAACAAACCTAAGCATAGCATAGTATAAATGTCTGCTGGAAAGACAAGTACACGGAAGGAAGTTGACTGTCAGTTGGTTGAGCTAAGCCAAGGCCTTTGTTTAAAGGAGAGGGCCCTCGGAGCCATGCGCGGAGGGACGGCGGCTAGAAGCTTACATCACACGAGGTGCTCTCGCTGCCGGGTTAGACCCAAAAACAGGTCTCTCTATACATGTGCTCAAGGTAAGATGATTGAAGTGAGCATGGAATTGCGCTGAAGCAAGCAGTCGGTGCGGCGAGTAGCGAATCAAGTGCTAAATACGGCCACATTGACAATAGTTGGAAAATATAATATATATATAAATGTAAATAAATAAAAATACATAAATATTAAGCTCGAGAAATGCCGGTTTAGCATATTTTTAAAAAGCGCCCTACTACGCGATTCTCATGAATTAAAGTAAGTATAACGCTAGTAAGGTTAATTGATTGGTCGTGACTATAAAATAACAATATTGCTCATCTCAGCTCGGCTCATTCTTGGCCCATTCACTTTCATTGCTTTGTTCAAACGAACTTTGCGGGAAATTAAAGCTCTTTTGATGCAATTTCAAGCTTAGAATCTGTTCTAGCCGTTGCCAATAAAACGCATCAATCAATTACTTGGCGTGTTAATGACTTCTTGTTGTTGCTGTTGGTGCACCGCAGAACAAAACAGAATAAATAAATATAATGAAAGCAAGTCGTAAATCATTTAATTAAATTCGGCACCCCCCCGGGTTTGTGCTTTGCCACACGCAATGGACTTTGTGAGAGGCGGGCAAAAAATAAATAAAAAATCGCCAAATATCAGCATACGAAAATGTGGCGTGATGACTATAAATAAATACAAAACAATAAAACCAACAGCAAATATTCTTTACGTGTACGTGTGATAAAAAAAAAAAAATTTAAACACTTTTTGGGTACACACACGTAGATAAGAGGAAGAGAGCAGAGCTTGTAAGTCCATGAACTCGTTACACTTTCGATTCTCGATACTTGTTGGTGATGACACTATCGACAACACGAAAAGTAAATAATTTACCGGTGCGCTAGGTTATTAAAACAAAATCCAATTTACATAAGGCAAACAAAATATTTACTAATTATGAGTGGCGCCATATGGCAGCAACAGTTGGCGATTGGCAATCGCCGGCAAGGCGCAAATAACAAACAAGTTCAAGCTGTATACAAAGCTCAAGGTCACACAAATATTAAATTCATTTAATTTATGCATATTCACACGAACAGAGAAATGGCAACTGAGAGAATTTCCGTTATTGCCATTGTTAACGGCCGCTCTCACTCGTGCGCGCGCGCGCTCTCTTCTATTGAAACGCAACTGGTTGGTACGCATCTCCACAATATACAGCTGTTGCGCACGTGAACTAGTTCAGGTTCAGGTTAAGGTTCAATACTTTTGCTGCGCACTTGCCTTTGCATTTCAGTGCGACGCACAAATGAACAACGCAAAAGTGAAGAGAGAATAAGCGTGGGTGTTCTAAAGTTCTAAAGAGCGCAAGCTTGCCGGCTGTTAGCTGGTTTTGCTGGTTCGTTAATTAACACTGCTCATAAAAATATTTATTTCAGTGCAACAATTGCCCAATTTGCAGTATGTGTGTGTGTGTGTGTGTGTGTGTGTGTTTATTTGCGTGCTGCGATTTGGCCTTCCGCGCCAGTTATATAGAAAAACTTAAATAGTTGACCAAATATTTTTGGTGCTAATGATAAAACTGGTAAACAGCGATTTTTCGATTACACCAGACAGCGCCAAAGCACGTCACGCCACATCGGACCACCCACACACAAACACACACACACACACATGCATACACATATACACGCGCGCGCATACAAAGAGAAACAACGACCTTCCTGCGAAATGAAATGTGTCACACGTAAAACAAATATAGTAAAAATTGCGAGTGAGCCAATTAATTGTTTATAGCGCGTTTCAAGAAACTGAAACACCCTGTGCCCGTGAGCCAAGTCTACGGCTACGTACATACACATATCTGAGTCATTCACTCTCTCAGCTGTTGCTCATCTTTGTTTACAAACAAAAACGTTTAAAATTTGAATATTTTTATGCAAAAGTAAATACAAAACAAAACAAAAAACGAAAGAACGCAACAAACCGTGTATGCTCTCACATTTTACTTGAATCGGACGGCTGACGACATACGGGATTAGATCATCAAAAAAAAAGATGTTAGCCAATTGTCAGTAGCTGCACACAAGCACACGTGCTCGCATTAGATTAGCGGCCTGCTAAGCGCCACTCGAAACGGATTTAACAACCTTCTGTGAGTGTAAGCCGAGCTCATAAGTACGTACGTACACACATACATACATATCTATATCTAGTTAATCACATTCTCTTTGCTCTCTTTCCATATTGCGTTCTCGTTCTCACGGTTTCATTTATGCAAATGCGAAACGCGCGCGCTTCTGTGTGTGTGCGAGAGAGAGAGCGAGAGAAAGAGAGAGCGTTAGTTAAACGTGTCGCTATTGCAGTCTCAGCTGTTTAGTCAATTGGCTGTGCTTCTTCAAGTGTTGTGATTAATTTGCAACGAAATCATTCAATTACACAATTTTATTAACTGATGCACAATTTAAAAATACACGTGCCAACTAATCAACTAATAATAGCTGCCTATATCAAATTGTAAAAATAAAAAACAAACATTTACTTGTATTAGAGGTGGGCATATGTCAGATATTTACAATACTTTAACACGAACGTTAGACTTGTCATGTTAAGAAGAGTTACGTGCTCGTGTCACGTAAGAAAGCACGAAACGCGTCCAGCTCTAATTTATATGCACATTAATTGCGTGTGTATATGATTTCACAACACAAACAATCGACAGAGGTTAATGACAGCGTGATAGAGCGCAATACGCGAAAGTAGAACAGAAAAGGTAAACAGCAAATCAAATGTTTTGCTAAACAGCCAATTAGAACACAGCCAAATTCTCTGTGTGTTTATATTTGTGTGCATTGGCGGCGATTTGAATGACAGTTGAAAGCGCAAAATGAACTCGATTAACGGTACATCAGCTGTCAAAAACTTTATGCAATGCTCAACACATTGACATGCTGTTGCGGGGGGGGGGGGGGGGGGGGGGGGGGCCATTTAACCTCAAAATCAAAATATGCAGCCGGCGTTTAGCCTTCACTTCAAAACATTTGACAGGGCCAAAGCACAGGGTGAGACAATCCTGGTCGTTCGGGTCTAACAATTGTGGCCCATGGAACAATGTGGATATACTGGTTTGTTCCATGTAAAAAGCGAAGATGTTGCATTACAAAATATTTATGTGTATGTGTATAGAAGTACACACACACACACACACACGCACGCACACTGGCTACTGTATGGTTTGAGAGTCAGGGGTGGTAGGGGGGACAAGAAAAGAAAAAAAAACTTACCAAATCAACAGACAGCCCGACCGCATCGGCCAGCCAGGTAAACATGCGGCTGCCATCGTACAAATCATTCTCAATAAACTTGGGCGATTCGAGCATTTTGGCTTATTTCTTGTTGTTCTTTTGCAGCGTTGTCCTCGTTAAAGCTTCATTTGAACAATTACAGACAATTTAGCGCGTGGTTTGTTCACAAAGGAAACGCCGCTGCGTTCTTCAAACTAAAATCCGGACACTTTATGAATATATTTCACAAAAAGAACAAACCCAAACGTTTGGGCGTTATTTTGAACTGCGTTTTGTGCTTTTTTTTGTTGTTAATTTACTAAAATTTTGTGCAATAATTTTTGGGAAGTGTTGCTCTGTATATGTATTTATTTTGTAATCGCACGATGCGTGCGTCAAAATGGCCGTTCTCTTTCCGTTGAGTTTCGTATTCGCGTGCTTGCCTCCGACACGATTGAAAGAGAGAATGAAACTGCGAGCAAGTTCTGTTTCAAATGAATTCGATGCCGAAATAAAAAAAATAATGTACACACATATGTTTGTACTTGTATATGTGAGTAGTCGAACTTAAGCCTAATGATTGAATGAAAAAGTACTCGATTTGAGTAAGGGCATGTGCAACTACGATTTTTTATATCGTGTGTGTGCACAGTTATATACATTACATGGGCCACAATATTGTGCCAGCCATAACATTTAGCCGCACTGTTATTAACAGCAAGCACGGTTCTTGTTCTGAAAAAGTATTGCTATTCTTTTATTTATTTTATGCAAGAACCAAAT